TGACATTGAGATAATTAGTTAAGGGGTCTGAACACATATAAAAAGAATAGTCTTTCTATGAATACTTGAAACTTTTTCTTGACTTTGGTTCAGAAAGCGTTATCCATTTCCTGTTTCTTCAATTTGTACTTCTTCCAGTGATGCATAGCAATCATGTAAAGCAGCTCGCAGCCTAGACATACAAATTCACAACAAGTCATGAAGGAGACGCCCGACCAAAGTCCAAGTTGACCGCCAAAATCAGCGAGCATTTTGACAACCTAAAAACAGATTTTCGTTTTAGAATGCTTATGTAATCATTCTTTTTTCTTTATACTTACCCCGTAAGCCTCTGATTCTGTAAGTGTTTCAAAGTTTAGTGCTTCGTAGAAAACTTCTAGCATTGCCGCATTTTCCCTGAAAATTGTGAGGCATTTTGAATCTATGACTCAATCCAGATAACTATTCAATCTTCACTCTTTTATGACTCACTGATACTCCTCGTTGCATATTTCCGGCTCTTTCTCACAAGTACCAAGACTGATATTCAGCGATTGACTTGGCCAGATTGCTTCCGAATAGGACATTGTATATATAGTTTGATTACATGGCTGTTGACATCTGCAGCACAAGCTTGTAGTTTATAATGCTTGTATCTCCATTTTGAACTCTTGTCAACACGTTGGCAAAGATATGTATTGTTCTCTTTATACATGTAAGCCAGTGGCGCTCCCAGCGAAATTCTCTCGGAAGTGGAGCGAAGATTGCGAAAAAGCGGTGCAGACAGGGATAAGCGTATCCAGTCATTTGGATGTCAAGGTCTACACAATTTATTGGATCTCGGAAAGCTTGCATATTAACGAGTAGAAGTGACTCATTTCTATGAATCAATTGCATTGTTGCTTTTTGAAATCTTGTCTAGTGTGGAAGAGGGGACTCTCCAGACGCTATTCGTTTTGCTGGGAGGATTAGCGACCCTTCGGGTCTCTAGGAAGTAGGTTGAGGCAGTCATTTATCGGAGAACCACATACATGACTTTCGGAAACCATGCTTCTTACTTAGAGTAAAAGTCGCCCTTACACTTTCCTTTTTCCTTCTTCCTTCCTTTAGCTTAACTGCCACATGAGCAAACCGATTGTATGTTGTTCATACATTAACCTTGCACAAAGCAATTTTTGAATAACTCAAATGCTTCAGGAGAAATGCTTAGTCTAAGGGCGATTTAAAAGTGGAAGCTTAGTGAAAGAAACAGCTTGAAACACCGATTCAAAATTTGCTTTCCTTATCTGTGAAGTTTATCCTTGGAAGAAGTAAAGAAAGTCCTTCTGAATCAGCCTAAGTGGCTTGTCAATTGCTCTACACTTCAATAACCCGAAACAGAGGTAGGGGACTATTTCATCATAAAGAGTTATCTTCATCAATATCCTTTACATTGCTGTTTTATGTGTGCTGTCTGATTTACACCGACGAGTCATGGGTTGGGGAGGGTGTCAGCCGTCACATTACTTCTCAAAAGTGCCGGGTTCACTCAAACGCTTAACGAGCTTTTGAATGGAATCCTGACGCTATCGTTGAGGTAGGTGGGCAGTTTATGAGGTTGGATAGAAGAGGGATTCGCCCATGCACTTGCTCTTTCAAATACATAGTATCGAGGCGCCAAAAGTAGACCATTTGGTGGAAGCTTAACGCTATGAGTTACATCGGCGTGGTGGGCTTCGATTGGCGTGAAGCAAGACGGCGACCTATGCACTTTTTGGGAGCCAGGCTTCAAGAGGCGCTAAAAGTGTTAGCGTTTGGTAGAAAGCGTAATGCTTTAATTTCGATAGTGAGAAATTTGTACGGAAAAAGATCGTGGGGTTAAAGTGAGTGCAAAGCGGCATGGCTCCGCATCCTTGCTCCTATTTGGTGAGAGATCTAGGCAAACGGGGAGGGGAGGGGGAGGGAGGGGGAAGGGATTAGGGTCGGATTTTAGTGTAAAGAGAGTGGAGGCCGATGCACTCACTTTAAATTGTAGAACTAAATGCGCCCAAGATGAATATTGGGCTCACCTTGTTGCGGTTACTCTTAAGTTTAGATGATAAATCAATTGGCGGCAAGTGAGTATGAGGCGAAGCTTCGCTAAAGCGCTCGAGATCTTTTGAGTTGAAACGTAACGCCTCGCTCAGGTTCGTAGAAATTTACGCCAGCAGCAGGGCATGAAGTTATTTGGGTGTGAAGCGATAACAGCGATACACCTGTCGGAGGGTAATCTCACTAGCTGAAGGGCTGATAATGAAATGGAACGACTTTATATTAAATTTTCTTTGTAGAGTATATGGCTGCATCTTTTGGAGTGGTAAGCACTGTGAAAGCTGAAGCAGGGTAAGATTTGCTACAGCGGCAATTTGCAGCGTGGAATAGTCATGTTGTCTTAACCACAAAACTGACGCCTCGCAAAAACTATCACAAGCTCTCAACTCATTTAGTAATTGCTTGCCTCACAATCAGCTCCAAGCATTGACTTCAATGTTCTTGCATTTTTCTGCCCGCTGAACGTTTACTACAAGAGTCCAGACTTCTTAATTTAACGAATGATGTTCGCCTATCCTAAGTTTTCTCAAGTAGCTGACACTGTCCATACTACATTTTTGGCCTTTCTCCTGGACTTTTTCGATGGGCCTGCAGCGACGTCGACATTTCGAAGATTTGCTATAAACTCGTGTCGTACTAGTTGCCTACTCTGCACCTGGTTGACGATGCAAATTCCATCCTAGCTTAAACCATGTCACCACAAAAGATGTACCAGCATAACATCTAATGTCCACCGCAGCATTCTTGTCTCGACAACATTTAGCTTGCGCTCTTCCTTTCGCGTACTTGGTCTAATCACTGCCGTACGGTGCTGTTGCGCGAGTACAATACAGTCAAAAGTATTTACAATACATGTAGGATTTGAGCTGCCCTTGTCCTTGTCGTTATCTCGTTTTGAATACCCTTTTCAGCAGAGATTCGGCTTCCTAGATGTTAGAAGGAACTCGCCTTTTGGGTGGCCTAGATGTTTATGGTTCTCAGAATTTGACTACTCATTTCCATGTATTCTGCTCCAAAATATGAGCTTCATGTCATACGACTTCAGTTGATTTCTGTCTTCGTACAAACTCTTCAATTCTTTTCTTCTTTCTGCTGTCATAGCCATATTATCTGTATACGAATAAAGGAAGCTATTTGAAGGTTTATGATATTGCGCCCGTGACTGCGATGAAGAATAGGAACAAAGCGCCGATCTCTGAAGCACATCATGTGGGATGACTTTGTCACAGTTTTTACTCGGCTCGTGGTTCCGTAATAGATAATTTCACCCCTTGAATGTATTTTACTAAGTTTTCGCACTTTTCACCATACGAGTTATAGAATACCTTTCGAAGTCTTCTAATCCAGGACTACTTAAAATTTTTGTAATTTTAAGCAATTGTAATAAAATTTTCCTTTATTTCTCCATTACCATCCAGACAATGTGAATACATCTGCAGGTAGGCTTACGCATTGAGTGGCAACTTTACGATTGCTCGAAGTCGAGTCTCATTATCGCGAACACTTTTAGTGTTTTTCGTCAGCCCGCTTGTCATATATATTCTACTGTGCGAACGCCTTTATTTTCAGATAGGAATAATTGTGTTTCTTGATTAGTCATGGAGCATCTTATGTTAGCGATGACAACCTAAGAAGAGTACTGCAGGACAAGAAGCATTTGATTGTTTCGAGAACATTTGGGATGTCATCTGAACCGCTAGCTTTACCTGACTGGCTCTTTAACAAGGTCAGTTGATGGAAACGCTAATTAAGCGCTGATAGTAGGCAGCATTACTTCACGTGTGCCGGTCATCTCCTATTCTGTTGTTGGCTTTGATATAGCAAAATTGCTCTCAATTTTTTGCACACTCTATCTCCTTTTAGGGTGATCACTCAGCCTCCCGGGTTCTTGTAAAACCCTCTTACGTATGCCTGTTTTGCTTTTGTGACGCCCTTCTTTGCATTTATTGCTGCTAGATAATCCTTTAGATCATTTTTCGACTTGAACTTATGCCTTTGGTTTTATACATGCCTCGCTAATCCTGAATATCGGATCCACAATTTTTGATGTCATCTAATAACTGTCTCGACATATGGTGGTAATCGAGCTTTTGAATAACCTTCAATGAGTAAGCTTTCTCATGTCCGCTCATAAAGGTGGCCTTTGCATACGCACCCATCGGATTGTTATGCGCGATATTAAAAGCGGTGAGACATCAGTAGAATTAGGTGATCTACAAATATGGTAGCAATACACTCGCAAGAAGTATACGCTTCCGTGGACGTCTTGGATTCTACGTGAAATTATATATTGGACGTTGAATTTCGTAAGGGCGAGAAACACGTTTCAAGAGGGGATGAACCCACGACCTAACTGAAATGGGCCTTGACGTAGTTCACTAACCACTATGATAACACTGTCTCAGTAAGAAATAAGTATGCCCGGATAGAATGTACCAGGTCTATACAAGAATTTGAACGGTCTGTGTCTCCGGATTAAAATGGTTTCTTGTTGCCTGGATCTGCTCAAATTCAATTTCCATTACTCCGCCAATGGCGTAATTTATTGCAAAAATAATATAATCTGAAGTAACCTTTCAAAATTTCTACTGCGATGATCTCACAAGCTCAGATCAATCTGCTGGCAAGGTCATTGTAATCAATATTGCGTAGTTTCTTGTCTAATCCAATCACCGCTGCACTGCGCCGGCACTCACAAAAGGGGACCTGGCTAGGTAGTACTAAAGAACTCCATCGGTGGGCTGATGGGAAATTAGGTGTTGCCCTTGCTCTGTAGATGAATTGGATCGCATTGGATAACTAAACCAAATTTTTGTTGACTAATCAAGCCAAGCCTGAGGTGTCGCACGTTGGCGAACCGTACTCTTCATTCCTGTGCTCACTCGGCAAGGTAGCATGTTTTTATCATTGACACGCCATAGAATGCAAGAGGGCATCGCGTAGGACAAATATTGGGTATTATTCTTGCTGCTTAC